TGCCTATTTGTGTGGTGGTTGGAAGGTTCTGGGATTCTTGTCCCCTGGGGGCCGCTCTCAACCAATACCTGTGGAGCTTTGTATGGATGCTCCAGGGGGGTAATCCTGAGGCACGTGAACCATGCTGGTGCCCAGAGCTTCCCTGCAGGATTGGTGACTTGCAAAACCACACACTCTTTCTCAGCTGCAGCCGTCCCTTGTTCACAGTGGTCCTATACCAGTAGGTTTTTCACCTTTAAAACTATTTTGCACTTGTCTTAGGGTTTGCTGCTGGGTAAGCCTAAACTAAGACACCAATTCACACGAAACTTATCTATAAAGTTAATGTCATTTCCAAAAAAATATCCTGTTGTGTGTGAATCAGAGAAAGTGCCCTGTTCTCCTCAGCAGCCAGCAGACCCCGAGACAAGTACGGAAAAAAAGAGGGTTATCAGGAAGCATTGCTAAAGAACCAGCAGCTGGAGTGGGGTGAGGAGCGGGTGAGAGAGACTCAGTGTGGCCCACTCTCAGAGTTGCCCCAACAGGCAGGGAGCAGAAGCCAGAGCATCTATAATTCTGCATTAGTCAGTGCACGGATGGGGCAGCCCTTGGGGGACACACATTTCCCATAAGTATGGACCTCCACATTTGTGGGCCGTGTGGGCTCTGCTAGCCCCCATTAAAGATGCTTGGAGTGAGGGCATGCTTCAGAATGCCGATGGACGGGACCTGAGGGCAGCCGCAGGAGCACGTGTGGTGTGCACTGCGTTCAGACAGGCATTCAGAGGCGGCGCAAGCATTCTCCCTGGGATATGTTGCTGCCTGAAGCCCCGGTGGCAATGCCATAAACCCTCCCTTTGGCAGAGCTGTTGTCAAGACATCACCGCAAAGTGCACAGCCATCAGGGGGGACTTCCAACGGGAGACATGTTTCCAGCGCCATCTATTAGAACTGCTGCCATGAACAGCTGCCAAGAGCCTCCTCTCCTGAGAGCTCGCCTGGCTCACATATCAGCTGGCTCACGGAGCCGTGGACACTGATTTGTCAGAGGCCTTTGGGTTACTGTGAGTGTCTCTTGGCATTTAAGTGAGGTTGTGTCTTGGTCTGGCTTTGCACTATGGCCGCACCACTCACCAAAACAAGCCATAATTTGTTTTCAGGGTAAGAAGTAATATTTTCATCAGAAGCTGTTCAGAAAGGTAAAATGAGATAATATCTAGGTGCTTAGTAGAGTCTTCCAACCTTGCAGGTTCTTGGTAAATACATTGAAGATTACTTGTGGAATAAGTAGATTTCTCACTGAGGCAAAAGAAAGTAAATTCCCCTTTGGGGATGTTGGTGCTTTAATGGCAGAATTTTGATTCACTAATTAATGACTTTGATTTCAGTGGGCAAAGCCCAAGAAAACAGGGGTAAGGCACCTGCATCTCACCACAGGCCAAAATGCCCCCTGTATTAGGTGACTGGGAAAAAGCAACTGGGCACTTACCCACTCTCCCTGACAAAACACTGCAAGTGAAAAACGGGGGGAAACTGACCTTAACGTTTCACACAAATTCCAGCCAGCTTAGCTGAAAGGGTTTCCTGACATCATGACTAAGGCTGTGTTTTTCTAGGGTTATATTTTTCTTTGTTCCTATTTCAGAGCCTTTGGGGGCAGCAAATCAATACAAATACATCAATGCAGAATGTTTTCACTCTAAATTTTTAGGCGGTTGTTAATTGCAAGTGAGATGAAAGCACGAACGATTCCACCTAACATTTAAAAGGTCACCAAAGGCAGCAAAGATTAAAAACAAAAAACTGAGGGAAGCCAGGATGTCACGTGACAGTCACTCAGCTGGCCGCTCTGCAGAAAGGACTTTGCATGAGTTTTCTTGGGTCGCCATTGTGCTGTAACAGAGTATCACCAAATGAATGGCTCTAACAGCAGAAACGTA